ATGTACCAATGTGTACTTACACTGTGGTTACATACCATGTACACATCTAGTTACTATGTAAGTACACAGGTATTAGGGCCACTTAATATAAAGTGGGACACTTCTACAAAATGGGACATACATAGTTGGGGGACAGGATCTTGTTTTCCATCACTTCACCAGTAATAACACTCAACACACAGGATGTATTCTTCCTTTTAAACAGCAAGAGCAAAGAGCATAACTCTATGGAAAAGACTGCAGATTCTTGGGAATAACAGGGAAAAAGAATAGGAACGGGACCGAGACATGACCTGGGCCTGATTTGAACCTTGGTCCCCCCGAGCACAACAGATCTTTATACAACCATTTATCTTTATAGGCCTACAATCTTAATACAACCACAGTTCTGACATAACTGGCTATTTTTATTCACTATTTAGGCTTATTCACACCAAGAGTGACATTACCACACAATGCAAATAACAAAAAGATATTTCACAACAAATCTATTTACTTTGCAAGCCACAAATCTTTGTTTGTTGGCCTAAGGAACTGCTGAATATCTGAATGAAGCTAGAATACGATAAGTTGGAAAACAGATTTCATGCAAAACACAACCCATCACTAAAATATGAACAATATGTTGTCAGTCTCCTAGAATGAAACTGTTATAGTAAAATAGTGTGACAAAGTGATATAGGAATACATCAAAATGCAAAACAATAATGCAGCTAATAATACAGTTGTAAAATAAGCATTCCAATTTGTTAGCAATTATTTTTTCTTTCGATCACATCGCTTTCTTTTGCTCTGCTTGCTGATAAGTCATTTTTCATATCAATAGTAGTTTTAAATCTTGTTATATAGTTTCATTTTATTATATAACTAATCTGCACCTATGCAACATATATAAATAATTGTTTTCAGGAATCCATACACATGCATTGTTTTGTTTGACATCTTAGTGTGAACTGGACTTAACGTTATAAAAAACGAAATGGATAAAAAATTAACCAAGTTCTAAATACTACGGGGAACTGAAATACTACGGGATTTGAAAGTGTACCACCATGCAAGACTACAGCTTGGTTTTCAGGCAACAGGGAGCTGCTTCAACCTGCCAAGGCACAGATGTGCTCTCAGTTTGGAGTGGAGGGGGTAAGAGAAGCTGACCTGGCAAAAGCTGGCATTTGACATGACTGAATCATGCATAAACACACACATACTCTGCTGAGTAAAGACTTCCCTTTGCCTGAGTCTTTCTGGCGTTCTGATGGGTTGTGTTTGGAGGCTGTAAACTGAGATACACACTGTGGCTGTCAATCTACCAGACGAGAGCTAGAAATTCAGCCACCACTCACAGCATGAGGGGAAAGCAGGTATCAGGTTCCCAGACAGACTGAGAGAGGGGGAAAGAGGAAACCTGGTGCTTAACTGTCAAGGAGGTTAGAGTCTGCGGTCTGTTTGTGTAAAGTTAATGCTGTGGTCATGTTTAGAAACCTCAATGGATAAAGTTCATGCATTTAAAAAATGAGTGACAGTTAGCTGGCCTCAAGTAAGTTTAAGAATAAGGAAAAAGTTAAGGTTCTTTAAACAAACACAAGCAAAACACTGGCTTATACCAGGACTGCATGATTAATCAAAATAAAACCGAAATTGCAATATGGCTTAGTGTGCACATCAAACAGCAGATGCTGTGATTTAATGAAATAAATATATGTGCTGCATGTTTCAAAGTGATACAAGGCACTCTATTCTTTTACATGTGAGTAGCAGTGTCTCAGAGCGGCTTGGTTTGCTGTAAATGATGCTAAACATGACGTCATCTGCTCTGATTCTGGGTCACTTATAAAATGCTCTCCATACATGTAATGAGAAGTGCTTATAAACCAGCTACTGCCAATAAAGAAAAGCTTTAAGAGCTCCCTGCAGCTTTTTGCCAAAATTAAAAACTTGATAGTTTAATAGAGAAAAGACAGTCATAAATAGTAGTACTGTAATTTTACACAAGTAGTGTAAAATAAAACAAGTATTTTTAATAATTGTTACTCATTTTTACAGTGAATAATAATAATAACAAAACAACAACAATACATTTTTTTAATGTTCATATTTAAATATAATCACAAATTTTGTTCGCCAAATTGTGCAGCCCTACAAACAAGCTTAGCAAACCTGGAGGTTGTTTTTTGTTATCTTCTTTTTGTTATCAGAAAAATCATAATTCGGCTTTTTTCCTCAAATCGTGCAGCCCTAGCTCATACTCATGATCTAAATCAACTCTTACTGTAAGTGCAGATTGGGGGCTCCAGATCTTTCCTTTCTTTTCTTCATGTTCATGAGTATAACAGCTGGATATACAACAACAAGTCTTTTACTCAGAAGTGAAACTAGAAAGAGTCTCCAGTGACAGGTTTATCACGGTTGCAAAAGCACTACATTGCGTACTGTAAAAGTCTGCTACCAAACTATCAACTCTTGATTATGAAAGTTTCAGGAATTCCAGCCATACTTCCTTTATCTTCATCAGAGCCATCAACTGTTCGATCACAATTCTTATGCATTCACGTCTCAGCTTGTCCATGGCCAGAGCAAATATCCACTTCTGTGTGAACTGAGGTCATGACCGTATTTGTTGTTAAACGACAATCTTCTAAAAGTTGTGTCCAGGAGTGTTCTGTCTTTTCTGAGGGCTGTGAACACGAAAATACAATGTGAAGAATGAAAGACAAATAAGAAAAAGCTTCACTCTCCTCCAAACTCGACTAGTAAAGTGTGTATACAGTATATTGCCAAGATAGTCAGAGACACACAAACACACCGATGCAATGAGGGAGAGGGCATTCTCATGATATCACAAGACCCTGGGGGAGGTGCAGCTGTTGCCCCTACCTCACACCGGCCCATCTCTGTACACACAGTTCTGGGAACCAAGAGAATATCAGTGTCCTATCCACTGTTCCCAGGCAAATGCTTTTGGCTAAATGCAGCCCCAAGGAGACAATAGGCAGGATCAAAGAGCAGAGAAACACCAACACAAGCTTTAAGCCTGATTCAACATTGACACACTGCTGCAAGACAGCCTAATACAATTACACTGACACAAGATCTACAGCTCTTTGCATATATGCATAAAAAGATGTTTCACTTAAAAAATTAAATTGACTTTAACACTAATTTTGGTCCATATAATATACAGTATGAAAATTTGATATTCAATTTTAGATTTGCTTAAGATTAAATTGAACAGTGTTGATTTTTTTTTACAATTATGTTTATTAATTATTAATGTTAATAGTAATAATAATGATTGTTATTACTATTAATAATTATTCATGTTTTTTATAGATTACTGGGTATTAGATGACATAAAACGTAACCTCATGGTGCGCTTTCATCCTTTTTTGAGCTTGACAGTTTTCATAAAGTTGCTTTAATTGTTTGAACAAACACAGTGTGAACATTCTGTTAAACATCTCCTTTTGTGTTCCAGAGAAGACACTCAGTCATACAAGTTTTGACTGACATTGGGGGGGGGGGGGGAATTAAA